TAGAACTACTATATGGGCAGTTCCTAGGTTTAAAAAACTCTAATGTAGTCTATTAGTTTTTCCTCCTCTCAGCGTCGCTGTCGTAGCTTCTCCATCCCGAGCACCGGTTGCATCGGTGACCAGGAGAGCAGGTCTCAGAACCATTGTCCTTGTGATCCTGCATTAGGAGAGAATGAATAAGGTTTTTGAGAAGCGCATATAAATAAGTTTTTTGGGAAGCACAAAGCACAAATAAGGTTGTTGGGAAGCACTCTTCGTATAATTGCTCCAAACCTCCACGATAGGCTGTCTTCCATCCAAATTAGACGGTGTTGCGTACTGTCATGTTCGCCACTAGCTGCTCTGAGCTCTTCCTCCACCACTCATCAACAACTTCGTACCACCACCAGTCAGGACGTCTCCTACAAAAGTACAAATAGAAGACGACCTATCAAGTGGACCCCACATGAACCTTAGCACATTCCAAATAAATTCTAAACAAGGTATTGGGATATAAGCCTCATAACCTTTTCCCATACCCACCTCAGCATAACCCACCCCGTATCCCTTTCCCTTTCCAAACTGCTATCCAAATGCCACCATATTGCATTGGGGAGATTGGTTTCTGCGTGTGGTGTCTTTGACATAAAAACTACCCCAGAGTTTCTGCATTGAGACTGTCCTGACCATCAAATTATCTTTCTTTTATTTCTTTTTTGTTATGTTTCCTCTTTTAATATGACTATCATCTTGGTTTTCTCTACTTTTATATAGTAATCTATATCTATATTTTTAGGAAGGAAAAATAAAGGGAAAACGGGAAAAATATGGAAGGGGTGCCAGTGAATCTAGCTCGATGAGATTTACTAGCACGGCACGGCGCGCTCCGTTGCGCCGGTTCTTGGACCGGTAAAGGGGTGGTGACCAAAAATTAAAGATGTAAACAGTAAATGTACGCAGTTTTAAAAGTGGTAAATAGTAGTAGTAAACAGTGTTTAATAGTGTCAAAATAGCATTAAACAATGAATGTGGTACTAAACAGTGTCAAAATAGTATTAAAAAGTGAATGGGCAGTAGTTGAGTGGTTCAACGAGCTCCAATTTATGCACGGTTGAGAGATCTTATTATGAATGGATACCTGAGATGGATTGTTCAGAGGCTCTAAACTGACATGTAAGATGTGGTAATTGGGTAAGTTGGGTTTCTCTGGGTTTATAATAATTTTAATAACACATTATTACATTTCCGTTATGAATAGTTCCTTTTAGAGCTTGTTCAAAATGATGCAACGACAAATTTATTCGGGATTATAGCCTTTGTGCCATTAATAAAATAAGTTTTGATAATTTATGATTTTATTTTGACAAAAGAAATCTATATAATTATGAGTTGTTAGAATTAGTGCTTTTATCTCTCCTGACGCAACACACGGGCATATTTGCTAGTAATGTCTTAAATACTCAAATGAGTAATTGTTTGTGGAATGATATGGACAATGCTCATAAATACCATTTAGCTAACTGGGAATCAAAGTATTAATAGTTCTGTAGCTAGTCTTTGGGATGGAGAATCCCTTAAGTGCACTTTTAGTAGGATGGGTGATGAGAGGTTATTAGAGCAGTGCCAACTGGCTTCTACCATTGTCTTTAAGGATGAAGAAGATTCTTTGGTTTGGTAATATCACCCTCAAATGGCGTCTATTCAGTTCAGTCTCTGTATAAAATCATAAATTTCAGAGGTATTCAGCCGGTGCACATCTCTGCACTTTGGGATATTAAAATCCCTCCTCGAGTCAATTACTTTCTCTAGCTCCTTAGTAAGTATAAACTTTTGAATAGAGATAATCTAAGTAAAAGAAGACATGTAGAAGTTGCTAAATGTACGTTTGTTTTGCAATGAGTTGGAATAATCAGTGCATCATTTATTCTTTGACTGTGTTGTATCTGAACATTTGTGGGTTACTTTATCCAATGTCTTTGAGGTGCACTTAGGGGGTTCTTTAGGTTCTATAGGGAAATTCTGGTTGAGCAATAAAAGAAATGGAGTTTTAAACATGTTTACCTTAGCTGCTGTCTGGAGCCTTTGGAAGCTAAGAAATGACCTTTGTTTTCAGAGAATGTCATGGAGGAGTATGGATATGCTCCTTTACAGAGTGGCTATGCTGGTGCAGAGGTGGGGGATCTTGTGCCAGGAAGAGAAGAGGGAACTCCTGTATTCGAAGGTTGCAAGGCTCAAGGAAGCTGTTGCTCAAGTGACGATGTGGCTTCAGAGTTAGAAGCTGTCTTCGAGAACATGTGGAACAGTTGGGAAGAATCATCCAGCTTCAGTCTACATCTGCAGGACGTCTGATGGAGGCTACTAGTTCCTGCTGTTTCGCTCGGGGTTGCGGTTATTTCGCTCAGGATTGCTTCATGTGAAAACTTTAGGTTCTGTTAAGGATGTTCAGTCTGATGTAATATCTGGGGTTCGTTTTGGCTTAAAGTACTTTAATGATGGAGATGGTATACCGTGTGCTATGCTGTAAACGCTACTTTGTCTTTTGTCTATGGTTAATTAAGAGACTGGGGCTTGGCCCTATAATTCTAAAAAGTGAGTGGTTATCACCATCAGTTCAAAACCAGCAGTGATAAAACATCATCACCACACATATAATCCGCCGGTGAAGAAATGATCCACCACAACTGCTTAGCAACCGCGCATTAGAAAAAAAGCTAGTGCTAAACTGACTCCTTATTTATCACTACACTATAGAACAGAGACATGGGTCATCTTCTAGCTTTCTTGTTCTATTTGTGCCCGTGCCGTACCTCTCTACTCTCTCTGCATCCCCTGGAAAAGCTAGCTCTATTTTCTTTCTTTGTCAATTATAAGAGGACCTTTACGGGGAGCCAAACCAATATTGCCCACCTCTACCATATATTCGAGCAGTGCTGATCGGCGTGTTTCATGAACGTACGTACAGTGAGCAACGGCAAACGACCCAACAAGGGCGAACGGTGGTGCTTGAGCTGGAGAAACCTCCAGGAAGCTGACGAGCCTGCGGGCTAGACGGCTAGGGCACAAACACCGCAGCTTGCTACTACTACTACGTACATCTATACGCGTACGACGTCTGCACTGAACAATTGCACATGCGTACAGTGGGCGCCGCCATCTTGTCGGGAGCGGTGCAGTATTCACAGAATCGCCTTCAGGGGCTAGGCCTGACGGCATCTCATCTATCTGTCCGTCTCCGTCGGTCTGCACCACCAACAACCGTGCCCATCTGTGCGCGCGCAATGCATGCAGTGCAGATCTGGGCACTGGGCAGCCAGCGAAGCTGCCGGTGCTGCTATACTTCTCGCGCGCCTTCACATTCTCATCACGTAACGTAGTACGTCACGCCTCACGCATGCCGGCTGGCCGGCCGAAAGATAGGAGAAAACAGGCAGGGCGCCTACTAGTAGTGTACGCCACGAGCAGAGCGGACTGCTAAAAAGTTTGTTCTTTTGTAAAAGACGATGGATCAGACGACTTATAATGAAATGAAGGTCCACAAGCATTTGTGAAAGAGGATCAGACCGACTTTTGAGACATATACGTAGTATATGTATATCGTTAAGTTGGCAGTTGGGCATGCACAAAAGGCCACCTGTACGACATTCACAACTACTTGCAATGATCTTTCAAAGTACACACATAAATCCAATCTCTCAGTCTCAGGGGGTTGATGACTACTCGGTTTCTAGCTAGGCTTGGGCGGTGTGTGCTGGACCTTACATTGGCCTTAGGCCAGTCTCAATGGAGATTTTATGGCCCTGTTACTAATGCATCCATATTTTAGAAATAGTGCAGAAGAGTTTCATCCCCATGAAACTCTCTCTACTCTCATGAAACTCTTATCATCTCTCTCTTCATCAATACGGTGCCACGTACATCAGTCTATTTAATGTCCATGAAACTCTGATGAAACCCCACTGAGACTGGCCTTACATGACACGCCCACTGAGGTTACCAAAAGGTGCCTAGATGTGATCGCTGAGGCCCTATGCACCGCGCTGACCTTGCACGCCAAGCCTGCACGTGCCCGCGCTTGACAGGTAGGCCAGCCGCCTCTTCTATAAATGAAGCCTATAGTCGGTGCAAAGGGTTGGAGATTGAAATAACTTGAAGTATAGAAGGAAAAATATATAAACTATTGGTAGCCTCTTCTATAATTAGTATATAATTTCATCTAGTTGTCAATTACGTTGAATCTTATTGACATCCATCTTTATGAAATTTATCTAAAATAACCCCCCTAAATATAATTAGTATATGAAATCGTTTGCATCCGCTAGTATGAAAAATAACCTAAAGTGACAGCAATCCCCTAAATATTCAACTAAAGTGCCCAAATATGCCATTATATGTGTATAATGTAAATAACCCAAGACGACGACCTCTCTCTAAATTTACACGAAAAAAATACCGTGCTGGCTTTTTAGAATTTAACTAAAATTCCAACAGAATCCTAGGCACTTTTCATTCCATCGTATGCATGGATCACTAAAAGGTGGAATGAAAATGGAGCGGAGAACTGGAGGAGCCAGAGAGCATACGATGGAGTCAGACGACGCGGATCTGCGGACGGGGTGTACGGACGACTACGGACCGGACCAGCTTGCCTGGGTCACCTGCCAGAAACGGTCTCCTCCAAGCCTGGACGCGATCCCGTCTCGGGCGAAGCGCTTTCCCTCTTCAGACCACACCACACAGGAGCAGATCGGGCGGGGATGGATCGGGAATTGACCCGGCCCAGCCCACCCGGTCAAACGTTTCCACCCACCGTTCGTCCATTCCATTTCCCCGCCGCCGTCGCGCTCTCTCCTATAGTCCTATAAATAACCTCCCCCTCGCATCAACCCACCACCCATCAGCTCTCACATCCTCGGTCATCGCCCATCCAAATCCACTCCAAGCGACCTCGATCCGCACCGCAGAGCGAGCAATTGTAATTCTTTAACCTTCGAACGCACACCGACACCTGATCCAAATCGGCCATGGCGGCGGCTCTCCAGGCACAGCGCCTCTTCCTGACGGCCTCCACCTCCTCGTCCTCGCCACTCACGACGCGGCCGCCGCGCCGGACCACCGCTGCCGCCCCCTGCCGCGCCGGCCTGCGCGTGCCGTCCGGCGTCCAGACAACAACCGCGTCGTCGTCGTCCATCCCGGCGGACGGCGGCCTCGGCGGCATCGAGCTGGACTGGATCGACGTCACCACCAGCACCAGCAGCATCGGCTCCCCCCCCGCCGACCGCAACACGGCGGTCGACAAGCTCCGCGCGGTGGCAGAGGCCGCGGCGGACCGCGCGGAGATGCACGACATCATCGGGCGGCAGCGGGACAACTGGAACCACCTGCTGCTCCACTCCACCAACTCGCTGACGCTGGCGGCCTCCGTGATGGCCGCGCTGGCGCCCGCCGCGCCGGCCACCGTGGCCGCGCTCAAGGCCTCGGCGGGTGTCCTCCTCGCCACGGCCGCCGTCACCATGGCCGCCGTCAACAGGGTGCAGCCGTCGCAGCTCGCCGAGGAGCAGCGCAACGCCACGCGCCTCTGGAGGCAGCTGGAGCGCGACGTCCGCGCCACGCTGGAGCTGCGGCACGCCGCGGAGCTGACCCAGGCCGACGTGCAGGACGCCATGGACAGGGTGCTGGCGCTGGACGCCGCGTACCCGCTGCCGCTGCTCCCGGGGATGCTGGAGAAGTTCCCCAAGGCCGTGGAGCCCGCGCGGTGGTGGCCGCGCCGCCGCCCGCACCAGCAGCCGAAGAGCAGCAGCAGCACCACCCGGTCCAGGAGCTTCGGCCGCCACAGCGTCAATACCAAGACCACCACCGGCAACGGGTGGAGCCAGGAGCTGGAGGAGGAGATGCGCGGCCTGCTGCGCGTGCTTCGAGCCAAGGACGAGCACCAGTACCTAACGGTGGGGAAGCTGGTCCTGTCCATCAACCGCGGCCTCGCCGTGGCGGGGCCCGCGCTGGCCGGCACCGCCGCGGTAGCCGCAGCCTTCATCGGGACCGGCGACGGCGCTTCATCTGCCTGGGCGTCCGGCGCCGCGGCGGCGTGCGGCGCGCTGGCGGCCTGCGTGAACACGGTGGAGCACGGGGCGCAGCTGGGCATGCTGTTCGAGCTGCTGCGCAACTGCGCCGGGTTCTACCGCAAGGTGCAGGAGGACATCGAGGCGGCGCTGGGGGAGGCCGACGTGGAGCGGAGGGAGAACGGGGAGGTGTTCCGGACCAAGGTCGCGCTGTTACTGGGACGGGACGCGGCGGAGCTCCGGCAGTTCAGAAGGATGGCGTCGGCGTCGGTGAAGGATGACGATATCAAGGACTACGCCGGGAAGATTTTCTGATCACACTTGCATACTCACGGAAACGCGGATGAATTAGCTCTCAACACAAATGAGAGTTCGTACATACAGTACTCTAGATAGGAAGAATTATATTCCATTGATTCTTTTTGTAAGTAACAACAATTCCAACTTGAAATGACAATTCTTTGATTGAGATTATATTCACCCATCTTGTTGGATCCCAATTAAGTTCTGATTCTAAATCAACAAGCTGAGTTTACATATGGTATGTTGCAACGGCTGTGTGATCTGCTAGCATACCAGTCACCGGTGCCATGCCTGGGAACATGCATGGTCCACACGGAGTCGTGGGCTCGTGGCGGTACACAAAACCGGCCGCGCGCGGGCGCCGGCAGACGAAGGCACCGGGCACCGGGGTCGCGTTGGCCTTACTGAGTTGTGTTGTGTCACGGTGCGCGCCACCAAAACCGGCAACCGACGCGAAACGAGACCCAACCCAAGCGCGGCCGGGCCGCCGGGCCGGGGTCTCCCTTTGTGTGTGTAGTGCTTGGACATGGCCAGCGTTTCACACTTGTTTTCAATTTCAATTCTGTCCGTGTGCGGGCCGACGAGACAAAAACGGGCGTTCGTTCGTTTGTGCCTTTGATTTGACCGGCAGCTCGTGCAGGTTCTGTGATGCATGGAAACTGGAACTGTTCGTCGGAGCGAATAGTTAACGGTTAGGGTGGTCAATTCAAACCTGATGGTCGCCGCTCGCCGCTCGGTGTTCAGTCCAGGGCCCGGAACATCCGCGCACACGAGCGACGAGCCTGGAACATCAGCGCCTCGAAGTTTGGATCCGTTAAGAATTTCTTCAAAGTCCTAAACATCGTTGTATTCGTTAAATTCATTTGAACTTCTATAGTTTCTTACCATTCAAACGAGTAAACGTTTTCATGGCTTCTTCAAATAAGATGGAATCACTCTCTATTTAAATTTCTTCACTAACATAGATTTCGTAGTCGTCAGAAAACTGGTTTACTAATTCTTTGAGACCTTCTGGGGCCTCAGCTACTGACACTTTCATGTGAAACTGTTGTTGCTCTTCATTGCCAAGAGGCAATTAATTCTACAGGCTCCTGTATCATAAGATTTTTGTTTACATTATTCATCTTCTTCGAAGAGCCAACAACAGGTGTTGTATAAGTCATACAACATCAACAGGTATCGAGAAATTCGTTGTTTTGAATCATTGAAGTGGACACGCAGTCCCGCTTCTCTTCAAGTAATAGGTCTCTACATACCGTGCTCCCCCAGATCGTCCCATCTTTTATAAAGATAGTGTATCTTTCTATTTCTTATTTGGGTTCAATCTATTAAAACCTTATATGGTGCTTTAAGCGCCGCTTTAATATCTTTGATGGTGACTACGCTATCTTTCTCTCGGAACTTTAAAAAATCCAGAAATTTAGCTGTTTCTCTGCTTACGGGTATCATTGTTATGACCGACAGTCACATTCATCAAAATCTTTATTTCACTCTTAATGAAGAGTAGTTTCTTAATTGACCTTAATTCTTACTCTTAATTCATCTCACAATTCTCCCCCTCGAAATATGGCATGAACTATACTGCCATAATTTCAAGAACTATTCAGAAAACTGTGAACGAGGAGACACTTATGACTTACTTCATTCATATGATTATGCCATGCAAATAAAGTTATTTCTTCATCCGTATAGGAGTACACTTTCCTTATTCCACTTCAAGAACTCGACGAGGTCTTTTATTAATTGTACTTTTGCAAGTCACGCTTGCATGTTTTCTTGTCCTTTGAGTAGTATTGACCATGACTGTGTATTTCTATTGTGGCATGGTCAATACTAGGATAGCATAAGAGCTACCCAAACTTCTCTCGCTATGTGGGATAAAAAATATATGAGTCATCATAAAACTTCTCCCGTCATGCAGGATTAACTAGCATGAGTACTATGCCAAACTTCTCCCCATGCGGGATAAATCTATATACAAATTACCGTAACAAAAAATTTAGTCACGATGACAAAAACATTCACTTATACTTCATTTTCCAATTAAATTTTTCCTTTGGTTCCAATTTAATCAGAAAATTAGTAAACTAACAAAAAATTGTCCTGAATTGGCTTGACTCAAACCTTTTCATTCACATACCTCAGCATTGTAGCCCGTTGGCATGCAACTGAGTGATCTCGTCGATTAAAAATAGAAGTTACAAGATGCTTCTGCATCAATTCTACATCATCATTGGGCAGTGTAGGATCTCTGGTTGGCCTACAGGGAGGATGAATAGGTCTATCAAAACAAACACTCAAACTTTTATCAAATTCACCATGCGGCACTGCGGGACTGCGGCACTGCCAGACCAGAACAGCGACACTGCCGCACCCGCAGACAACTTCGAGTCACAGTTCAAAATCAGTGAATAAAAACTTAGATCAGAGAAATTTCTCAGCCTACTGCAGGTATGATAGTCACACATCAAGAGCTAAAAGTTGTAGGAACACCACACATAAGTAGATCGACTAGAAACCCTAGAAATCACCTCAACCAACAATATAAAATGCAAGTAATGTAAATCAAGCATAAGTGACATAATGATTTATCCCGTGGTTCGGTTTGCCACCAAGGCTTGCCTACCTCCACGTTGTTGAGGTTAACCACTAAGGCTTAGGGCTTTTCAATCCTTTCTCATTCTCAAGTCAAGAGACTTAACTCTTGCGATAAGGGGTGAGTTTACTAGCTTCAAGAAATGGTTACAAACCTCTTGGGGCTGCCACACAAGTTGGCAAGCTCCACGGACGACGCTCTTACCGGCTAGGAGCCAAGCTCCAAGAGTAATAAACACGAGCACCGGCTAAAACGTGAACCAAGTGCTCTTTTGAGTTGAGGAATCAATGAAGCTGCTCTCCAATCGAGTTTTGGACCCTTTTCTCTCCAAGATTGATGGGGAAATCAATGAATTGGCTTAAGGGATCAAGGTCACTAATGGAGGGAGAGAGAGAGGCTCCTTTCTGTTTTGGACGAGCTGAAGTGAGGAAGAAGAGGCAGGGTACCGTTGGGGAGGAAGGGGAAAGGTATAAATACCCCCAGCCCCCAACTGTGTACTTATCTGCTCTGTAAACAATTTATCCCGTTGGTTCAAAAATTGAATAGAGATGAAAAACTAATCAAGATTCATCAAAATTCGCTTATGAAAATAAATAAAACAAAACTTCACTATTGTTGTGCGTCCCTCGGCGAAATCGGCCCATCCGCCAGCGCGCCAGCGCGCCCACGCGCGTGGCCCAGCGCGCTTAGCTCGCCCACGCGCCTGTGCTCTGTCGCGGCCCAGCAGCAAAATCGGCCCGCGGCGGCCGCTCGCGTCGCGCTCCCCTGCACCCAGGCCGCAACCTGGGCCTGGGCCGGGATTTCCCTCGCCCGCCTGGGCTGTATATGGTCCAGTGCACGCCGACTGGCCATCGCGATCCAACGGCCAGACGTCGTTTGCGCGAGATCAAAATCCCCCGCCGCGGCGCTACGCCCTAACCCTAATTTCATTTCTTCCTCACCGTTCTCTCTCTACACCACATCCGGAAGAGAAAGAGCAGCGGAGCGTGCATAGGTTTACTCGCATGCATATTTTATTTCTTTAGAATCTTTTTTAAGTATGCATTTGCGATAGTCCTAATACCCCTTTTCATCTATCTCGGTGAATTTCAATTCCTAGAACCAATGAGGCTTCATCGAGATCATTCACATTGAAACTTAAGAACAAAGACTTCTTCTCCAATGACAGATTAACATTACTACTAGTGAGTAGGATGTCATCTATATACATGATGTGGAAAAAGAATTTTTTATTCTTGAACTTCGCATAAACGCTATTGTCCTTCTCATTTTTTTTAAACCCAAACTTTCTTATTGTTATTCAACTTCAAATACTACTGTCTAGAGACTTGTTTTAACCCATAAATGAATTTCTACAGGTGGCATCCCATACGTTATTTTTCTTCTACGACAAAACCTTTGGATCGTGCCATGTAAACGTTTTCATACAAATCCTCGTTACGGAATGCCGTCTTTACATCCATCTTATGTAACTCTAAATCATAATGTATTCATTCTCTTTGCGTAAATCCTTTTACTACAAGTTATGCTTTATATCTTTCCATATTCCATTTGGAGTCACATTTTGTCTTGTAGACCCTTTCACATCCTACTCTTTGGCTCCATTAGGAATTTCTTCTAAGTCCCAAACATCGTTGGATGTTAGATTGATCTCCACCAGTTGGTCCAACGGCCAATTGGGCCATTGATCCGCGCCCTGATCGGGGGCGCCCAGCCGTTCTCCTGGCTGATGGCCCCCCATCGCTATAAAGAGAAAGGTGGAGGCCGGGGCGCAATGAACGAGGTTCACCGTAGCCGCCAGCGCTCCACCGAGGTTTCTAGCCCCAGTCCGATCTAGAAGGGCGCGCTGTAAGCGACGGAAAGTCCACACTGCCTTCACCGTTGCCACTGGTCCGCGCCTACGCTGCTACCATCAACGACCTAGCGGACACCTGCACGGCTTCCCCGACACTCGAGGTCATGCCGCTGCTACTTCGTTGGCGTTGCCATGGCCGTGACTGCCCTTTTGGTGAGGTATATCAGCAAGTCTCCTTATCTAAGTTAAGTTTTTACCCATTGATCTATGGCTAGACGATCCTAGTTCTTAGTTGTATGGAAAGACAGACCAACGTTCTTTCAAAAAAAAACAGACCGACAAGCGACGACATTGCAAACGACTTGGAAGATCCTGAATACTTAGTCAATGGTCATTTGCGATGCTAGTGTAATGGACCTGTCATCTGTCAAGCGGGCCTACGGTTGCCAATTACGTTCAGCCATGTGGGCAAGTACTTGTTCTTCAGGCTTTCAAGTTCAGAGACGACGGCACCGGTCAATTCAAGGTAACGGCTTCAACACGACCAAACGAACAGCGCGATATGATATGACGGCCCGGGTGGTCGCCACTTGCACGCGACCTCAAAATCCTAGACGCGCCAGGCACGGGCGACGACGCCCTGCGTCCGGATTCAGTCGGAAAACTCAGTTCAGGTTTCGGCTCCTGCGTGTGTCCTGACAAAACTTGTTCTGGTTTCCTGTTGTATATGGAGACAAAACTTGGTTTCAATTTCAGGGGGTCCTGCACGGGCACGGCGAATGGCCACGCAACGGCTTGGAATAATGAATGCCATGAGCCAGTCGCCCAGTGTGAAATTCTGAATACATTTGGTCTAAAGTCTGAATGGAGCTGCCAAGAGCGTCTGGTCAGGCAACAGGTTTGATTACCAGCAACAACGGTGCATGCTGGAACAATCACATTATGACTATATATATATATATAGCTGAAAAATGAACGAACTGGTTCTCAGAGCTAGCCGAATTCACTGCACTTTGCTTCCATCACAGTTCACAAACGCATAATCTGTCTTTGCATGCGTTGACAATCAAATAAACTGACTACAACCAGTACCAGATAATAAATAGTCAAAAACCCCAACTACTTGAATGGATTCAACAACGATTTGGTGCAGAACAATACAGGATATAGCATCCAGCTTCCTTGATATTCATTTTATCTGGTACCGGGTTGGAGCTATGCTGCTATTTCTTCCTTCTAAACCATCTACGCCTGCTTCAGAGACATGGCCCTCGCACGAAGGTTCATAAATATCCCCCTGCACAAGCAAAAAAAAAGAGACAAGGGGGATAGGTATGGCAAGTGGTACATTGGGGAAAAAGGTTCTTGTACAATGTTCAGGCCAAAAGAACATTACCAACAGCATGCGACAACGCTGTGGAAGATCACTCGGAATTGTAAAGGCATGTACTGATGGTTTATCCAACCAACTATCGGCCAAAACGGCACATATCAATCAGATTTAGGAAGGGTACACAGAGGGACTCAAAACACAAGTATAATCATTTCTGAAAGAAAAACACATACCATCCAAGAGCTCAATTGCACAGAAGGGTATTGTTTCTTTACCCTGGTCGTCACCTCCTTCAAAGGCCTCCCTACATTCAAAGATGGGATAAGTATGGATCAACTGCAAAAGTATGGTAAGAGTAAGACTAAGATATATGGAATCAACAGTGATGCTATATTTTGATAGATGGACATATCAATTTTTTTTTCTCGGATACGCAGGAGAACTGCGTATCATTGTATTAATAGTAGAGAAGATGGACATATGATTCAAGATGCATTGCTCTGATCTCATATTTCTGCATAATCAAACAACATATGCTTATGATATTGTCATGTTTCAGGAGACTGACAATGTGGTCAAAGCTATAAATACAAATAGGAAAGAGGGTTAGGGGTGGTGGGGAGGGAATTTTGAGGTTGCAAATGCAAATTCAGTATAGAGTGATGCCAACAGAACTAATTAAGTTACACACTTACTCTCAACAACATATACATGAAAAATGCATGACAAGGTCTTTGACAATTATAACTTCACTTCAACACAGGCTCCCCTTATAAAAAAAGGCTCCAAACCCCAACAGTAAGTCGTAGGGAAGGAATAGTTGACTACTAATTTGAAGAAGCTAGCGCTCTATAAATTTCACGGGCAAGCTATCTATGCGAATTCTGGAAAAAAAACTTTGCCAGGAATTCATCAGGACACGAGGTTGTCACGTGCTGGTTAAAATGTCACAATGAAATTCGGGATTTTGACTACAGCCAGCAAAAAGAATGCTACTCTAACCAAGAGTTTACTGCAGTTTAAACACTAGTATCTGTTTCTTCCCAATTATTAGTTGGTTACTTAAGTCAAAATATTTACTCGATGTTTCATTTGAAATTCTGGATTTTATAGTTTGCAGGAGAAATATAAACTATTTATGCATACCATGCATGGAAATAAGTGAAAGCTATGGTCAAAATTGTCAATGACAAAAGGTATACCTTCTTTGCTATGGTTTTGGTGTCCTTTTTCCCTTGGAAGATATAATCCAAAATTTTGTGCAAGAAATGTCCAAATGGGCCACCATATGCAAAACCAAAGAGCTGGAACATATCATCAGCACATGGTGTCAGATTATAATAGATAGGTACATGCAAGCAAGGATAATAAATAAAAGAAGAGAGGGATACAAAGAAGATGCCCATATGCAAATAAACTATTTTAGCTCAAGCACATCAGAATGTGATGGTTTAGATCAGACTATGTCGAGTGCCATTTGTTTCTCAGCAATCAATGAAGCAAAGTAAAAAGTACAGACCACAGCTTAAGTTGACTGTGAAATGTCTTTCAGTTTCATTTGGATTCAACGACTCAATATCCTCATGAAATCTTTATGAAGGCTGCAAATGCTACACCAGAAAACAGCTATGACAATTTTTTTGAACATGAAATACAGCAGGGGAGGCCCCCACTGTATGTTTTTTATTAAAAGAAACAGAGCTGTACAGAAAAACCTCCAAAGGGAGGAGAAACAACAGTGGAAAAGAAAAAACCAGGGCAGGGACAGCAGAAAACTAAACTAAGGAAGCTATACAATCTAGAAAGAACAGCTATGGACAATTGAGACCTGAGACCACAAGATTGTAGAAAAATAGAAAACAGTGAGAAACTCTCTTCCCAAAAGAAAAGAGCCTCATCCTAGTAGAAGAGATCCTAAATAATTGGGGTGCAGATCATTTTTACAGAATTTGGCAGAGGAAACTAGCACACAACCCAAAAGCAAAACTGTGATGTTGGTTTTTATTTTAAAAAATGGCCAGATATCATACATGATTCTGAATAAGTAGCAACAATTCATTTGGTAGTACTAGCGATTCATGATTTCACTCAGCGTTAAGAAACCATAAAAGTTTGGTCGTCCTCCAACAAATTATCTCCAACTTCATCTTATGACAACATAAATCACACAATAATTTGGCACAGGTGGCCAAGGCTATCTTCTCCCAGGCACATGGGTGGCGTTCTATTCTATAGATTGATAGCCACTAGAGTCTGTGTGGTCCCCTCTTTTAATTGCCTGTGTGCTTATTGTTAAGCAGAGGCCAGAAGAGTTATTTTCAAGGCTTTGTATCAACTCGATGTAATGCGCTCGAAAATTTAATAAAATCTTCCTTTATCAAAAAAATAACATGTAATACCAAGCCCAAGCAGATGACATCCACATTGCTGCAATTCAACAGCTGAACTGAAACTAGTTGCTAAATGACTAGAAATCAAGCAAAACATCTTTCAACTGCACCTCCCATGTCCTCCCAAGAATTTTCCCAGAATCAGTTTGATAGAACTACTCACTCCTAGAACAGCAAGATTATAGTTGAGCTGATGAATTGCCAGTACATTACATATCAGTATATCAGAAATTACAGTTAGTTGATCTAGGGAATTCCCAATACATTATAAATCATTACATCACCATAAACCGATCATAATCTGATATAACTAAATCAGATGAACTGCAATTTCAACTTATGGCAACATAAATCGCACAACAATACCAAGCCCAAGAATATGACACCCACATCGTTGCAATTCAACAGATGAACTGAAAGTCTGAAATTAGTTACTAAATAACTAGAGTTCAAGCAATACATCTTTCAACTGCACCTCCATGTCCTCCCAAGATTTTCCCCCCAGAATCAGTTTGATAGAACTACTCACTCCTACAACAACGAAACTAAAGTTGAACTGATTTAGGGAATTGCCAATACATTACAAATCAGTATATCACCATCAACTGATCCTAATCTGTTTGGATGCAGCCCTGGCCTGGGAGCGCCGGCCAGGCATGCACATCCGACCCCAGGCGCTCAAAATCGAACGCCTGGGAGTGATGCCTGGCTCAGGCAGCTTTCCTACGCTGCCATCCAAACAGCCCGGTGACTGTATGTAGCAGAAACTAAATGCAAGGCAGCGTCCTTACCATCTTGAGCAGGAGTCTGCGCTTCTCAATCTTCTGGTACCCGGAGAGCTTCTGCGCGACGGAGTCACTGACGCCGGCGAGGCACCCCGCCGTGATCATCTGCGGGCGGCAGCCAACCAAACCAACCCACTTTAACAACCCCTGCTACCGATTCTCGAAAGAGCGAACAAAATCCAAGAACATGAGCGAAAGCGAAGACCTTTCTTCGGAGCGATGTTGCTGGAGCTGGAGCAGGTACTGCCTCCACGCCCTGCGAGCCAGCGACCCCTCTCCCTTCCCTCCATCTCGTTTCCCTCCTCCTCGTCCTGCACCTCCCGCTGATGCCATAGTTGAAAAAGGCCTCCAACCCCTTCGAAGTTCGACCAATCTGCCCACCTACTACTCCCAGCACTGCGCACGCGCTCTTTGTATGCCCCCTTGATTTTTTTGGGTGGGGATTTTACGATGCTTGGGTTGGCGAGAGAAGCGAATCGCGTGGGACTGATTCCGGAATCCAGAATCGTGGGCGCCGGAGGATAGCTGCCGCGGTGGTCGTGGTCCCTCGCCAGCCGGACGATGTACGTGGTGGCCGACGTGTGGGCCAGAGGAAGTTAATCCGCTCTAACAACCTGAGTACCTGACAGGTACAGGTAGTTGCCGCTTTTACTAGGCCCATGCAAATTTTTTGTTCAATCATAGTCTAATTAGGCTTAAAAGATTCGTCTCGTGAATTTCGTCTAAACTATGTAATTAGTTTTATTTTTTATTTATATTTAATGCTTCATACATGCGTCTAAAGATTCGATGTGACGGAGAATCTTGAAAAATTTGGCAAAACAAAGTGGAACTAAACAGAGCCTAAGCTCAACCGATGCGCTTATATGGCCCGGTTTTGATGTCCTAGGCTCAACCTGACAGGTAGGTAGTTGCCGGTTTTGATGGCCCAGTTTAGAAGTTGGGCTTCGGCCTTGTTTAGATTGAAAGATTTTTTTGTTGAACCTGATGAATAGTATCACTTTCGTCTTATTTGGTAAATATTATCCCATCATAGATCAACTAGGCTCAAAAGATTCATCTCGTGATTTTCAACTAAACTGTGTAATTAGTTATTTTTTTTACCTACATTTAATACTCCATGCAAGCGGCTAAAAATTGATGTGATGAAGAGAGAGTGAAAAAACTTAGAATTTGGAGGTGATCTAAACAAGGCCTTCCTTTCATTGAAAACTGGAGGTAGTAAGGCCCTGTTTGGTTGAGTATGGTCGTGAAAAAAGCTATTGTGGGTTTTTGAAATTTGTGAGTTGTGAAAAAGTTGCTGTGTGAAATTGTGAGTGTAGAAAATTTGAAAATTTGTTTGGTTAAACAAGTATAAAATATACCTTTTATCTTTATCTCTCTTGAAACAACTATGGAAGAGCTTTTTATTTGAAGCCAAAAGCCAAAAAGGTGGTCAACCCAAACTTTCAAAAATGAACTACGGAAAAACAATTGCTTCTAAAAAAGCACCCTCCAAAAGCAGCCCCTTTGGTTGGGCTTTTGGCTTTTGGGGCCAAAAGCCAAAGCTAAAAGCCCAACCAAACAGGACCTAAGACTGTCTCCAAAAGCTTACCCATATAGCGACCCATACCCAAAGTACATCACGCCCACGCAAAGAACGACGTCTAACAGAGTACACATTCCGAGTAGCTATTTTGCGTAGAAGGAGAGAGGGCAGCCAAATCTGCGTCCTCCCTCCGTCTTCTATCTCCTCAACCCAAATATCCGGCGCTGTGAGGCGGGTCCGCGTTGGGGTGCGGCCGGCTCAACGAGGCGTGCCCACGGCGAGGTGGTTCCTCGGTGGAGCGCGGTCAGGCGGACCACGGCGGGGAGGACTCCTCCTTCGAGCCGGCGGCTGCGGCTGCTCCTCCACTGTAGGCCTCAAATACGGATGCCTTGGTTCTGGCGGCGATCAGCGAAGAAAGCTGGCGGCATATGCGACGAGTCTGTGCAGTGAAAGAGCAGTGGGGCGCGAACAGCTTGCGTTGACACGACGGCGGCAAAAAAAAAGGTAGGGAAGGACGGGCGCTCACCTAGATTCATGAGCGGCAAGCAACAAGAAGCCGGCAGAGATGCCGCCGGCCACAATTGCTCGGCCCGCCGTGTTCTCCGCCGGCTCCAGCAAAGGCACCAATCGGGACGCGGCTCCTCTCCTCCGTCAGCGTAGAAGCCAGCGCCACGCGCCACGCTTCGTCTGGCCCTGGGCCATTGTCGTCGTCTTTCGGCGGACGCCCGCTCATGCCAATCCCGTTTGTCCGAATCCTCCCGGCTGGGGCTGGCTGCGCTTGGCGGTCCATGGCGGCTCGGGCGCTCCTCCGTTGTAGGGCTGCGGCGTGGCGGGTCCATGGCGGCTCGGGCGCTCCATTCTTTTTCAATTGGCTGTTGGAGAAGAGACGTTTTGGGTGCGTGACCTTTTGCCTGTAGGGGTCCCAAATCATGGTATAGGTCTAGTATTTGGGTCGGCGTTGTTGGAGATAGTCTAAGTGGGCGGGTATGCAACCTATTGTTGCAAAACCATTAGTAGTAAAATAGCATTCATTCCCAAAAAAAAAGTAGTAATAGCACGTCATGTCTTAGGTTCGACTTCTTATGGGAGCATGAATATTATTGTATTTAATGGAGTTATACTTTAGTGGTAGGCGATGTTTCTGTCGACAACGAGACATGGTAGGGTTTGTGTGCGTGTGTTGTGAGCGTTTGTGTTGTACCGTATAATTAAAAAAAGAAAGGCTATTAATTTTGTCTTTCTCGAATAAAAAATAAAGAGAAAAAAGAAACGTCAAGACTTTCACTTGTTGCTAACTAACGCATCTATCCCCATAAACCTCTCCACAAAAAAAATGTAATTATTGGTATTAATAACTATAGCATGCATATTCATATACCTCAATATTGCATTCTCGCCGATATCCCAAAAATAAATGACTTTGAGAGAATTCCTTCCTCGGTGCTAAAAAAGTTTAGCTTCCTTCCTTAGAACTTTTAGATTCGAAGTTACCTATTTGGCTCGGAATCTAACTTTCCTTCCTTTCTTGTATGGCCCTTCCGTTAGATTTTGCCACTAACGATGTTTAGTGGGGATAATACGACGATTTTTACCCCTGTGCGTAAATAGGTAAGTTTAGTTTTAGTATATTTCATTTTAATAAGGGTTATATAGACTATTTTCGCATGGACCGAGGTCATCATAATTAATTGTTTAAAAATAATGCATACCTTTATTTTCTGCAATTATGATAACCTCAAACTATGCGAAAATAGTCTAAATAATTCTCAAAATAAAATATATGAGAACTCAACTTACCTATTTCGTCCGGGGATAAAATCGTCATTTCATCCCCCACTTAACATGGTTAGTGGTCAAATCTGACAAAAGGGCCACATAAGAAAGGAAAGTTGGATTTCGGGCGAGGTAACTTTGAATCTAAAAGGACCAAGGAAGGAAGTCGAACTTTTTTAGGGCCAAGAAAGGAAATTTATCATAACTTTCTAGAATTTTTAAGACAAAACAAGGACTCTGGAAAAATACGTATGTATGGTCATCTGCTTTTCTTTCTCGGAGGATATCTCTTGAATTTTGACACAAGTACATTCAGCAACAGTAGCATGCAGCAAGTCAAGCCAGCTGATTTTAGCAACAGGCGCCCAGGCCATCAGATAAATATACAGTGATCCACATAACTTATATTCATTCAAAAGTAAATAGTACTTCAACTTAAATGATAGTGCAAAGTAAATAAACAGTCTTCATAATGCAAACTTAGTTCACTAAATCAAAAAATAATTGGCTATAGAAATAAAATGACATGAACTAATTCTAATTCGACAAACGACGATCAACGATCTTCTGCTGCATCGTCGTGTAGTACTGGTCAGGTTGGTAATGTCCATTGCCATTATTTTGTCTTCCTTTTCCATCAGGTTCGATTCCACCTTTTTTCATCTAATGCCAGGCACTTTTTCTCTAGCTCAAGTGAACCCATGAACCTCTCCTCTTTCTTCTTCTCTTTCTCCATGTCAAAAGCCTCCTTCTTAGCCCACATTTTGTCCAAAGCCTCCATGCAAGCTTCACCTCCTCCTCGCCTTAGAGCTTCCTTTGCCTTCTTCTGACCCATTGGCCTCTTTCGTGCCTTGGATCTTCAGTGTTATTGACTTCTGCATTCCTCGGCGTCGAATCCGTGTGAATCTTCTGCTTCTTCTTAGTGACTTGCTTCTGCTCTGCCATTTCCTTCATCTTGGCCTTCCACTTGTCTTCACCCTTTAACTTGTTCCAACAATGCATTAGAGTGAATGTCTTGTTCTCGCTATCTAACCCCTTGAACATCTCGCATGCTTGAGAAACCTACACATGTTATTAATTGTCAATGTGTATGTCTTCATAAATGAACCAAATAGAAAAACAAAATAAATGAACAAATGGACCAAATAGAAAAACAAACCTTGTCTTGAATGGTTGCACCACTTTGATTCCTACACTCAATCGCTCCGTAGCATGCACAAAACTTGTTCACTTGCACCAAAATAGTCATCCACCTGTGCATAATGAAACTCTCGTTCTGTAATCTTTAGTTTTCTTGTTTTCTCATAGTAAGCATGAATTCTACTCAAAAGGAGGCACGAGATTTATTAGCCCCATGCACGGGATCTTTGCTAACGTTCAACCAAGCTGAGACTACAACTTCATCCTCCTTCGGATCAAATTTTTTGTCCTCTTCAAAAAGGCCTTGTACTGCAAGGCCGTGGAGCACCTTCACGTGGCTGCACCGGCACATCAACTACTTGAACTTCAGTAGGCATCTCATCAATTTCCTGGGTCTCCTGTGTCATGGGAAAACTGTAGTCATCCAAACCAGTACCATCATCCACACCCATGACCATATTTGTCCCAAATCCACCCCCAGACATTGGAACGATCCTACAAGTATTCACGAATAAATCAATGGTCATAATCTATGTACAAGAAAATAATTTTTACAACATCAGAGAGCAGCATATATTGAAAACAAAAATGTCCAAGATCTAGACACAGACCACATCCAACCATGGCCAGGTCGTCGCCATCCATCTGTCAAGGACAACCACCCCTGCCCAACCACAGCCGGTCAGCAGCTGGCCACGGCCGGCCACACAGAGCAGCATATATTGAAAACAAAATGTCCAAGATCTAGACACAGACCATAGCCAACCTTGGCCAGGCCATCGCCATCCATCTGTCAAAGACAACCACCCCTGCCTAGCCATAGCCGATCAGCAGCTGGCCACGGACGGCCACACAGTGGCAGCAGCCGGCCAGACAGAGGCACCAGGCGGCG